TTTGTATTGTTTTTATTTATTTATTAATTTATTTGGTGTGCATTTTCTTTCATTTGAAATATTTTTTTTATTTATTTACAGTGTATTTTTGTTTAATAACATCTGTGGCCCCTTAAATTGTTTGTATGTGTTTATTTTACGTATTTTGATCTAGATCTTTTATCTGAATCGACTGATGTTTGAATTATACGAATAACTCGAATAGAACGCGAGATATGTGCATTATTTTTCTTCCCAGGCCTTCTATCATCAAGTCTGGCGATTTTTCTCCAACCTGACTGAAGTATCTTAATACTGTATTTTCAAAACCCAAAGCAAAATGTTTCTTGAAACTTTCGGAAGTGTTTACTCTCCCTTTTGAGTAACCACATAAATAAAAGACACTGAAAGACCATCACGCAGTTAAGTGAATTAGTACATAATTGAATCCAAAGTCCTGCAACTGTACAGAGTGTCTTTTCAGTGACCATCCATTTCAGACTTCGCTCTGGGAGCCATACTGTTGATCTGCAATATTCCTCCCGCATTAAGTTGGTAGGGTTTTATTTAGTTTTATTAAGAGTTAATTTTATTTTGGAAGCAACCTTTCCTATATATATATAATTTTCAACCTACGCTTTCTTGCCAGAATGGATTGGATTGGATTATTCAATTATGGCAAAGCACACGAGAGCTATCTGCCTAAAGGGAGAGATGCCTTCGTGGAGGACTTTCTAAGGGAAAATGGCTCGTATACAACGTTACACATGAGGAAAACCACGAAAACGCCCATGCAGCCAGCAGCCCGTTCGCGGATTCAAACCTCGGACCGAACTACCAGTGTTCAGCGTCTTTACCGCTCGGCCGCTGGTGGGCTCCTTGCCAGAATGATATTTCAGTTTCGCGTATGAGGCAAAGTAGGGTAGAAAGATGGTGTTTCAGTTACTTCAGACAACGCGTGTTCTGCCTTTTAGCCACGTTGTTTCTTTTGCTAGTTTAAACGGGGTTTTTTCATACGTTTGTGCATATTAATTGCCGGTTAGCCAACTTCGGTGGTTATACCAAGAGCCAACTATGCTATTAAATATCTCTGTACAGCTTCGGATGATTATTCAACATATGATTAGTTTTAATTTTATGTTCCTATTTTGAGTTGCCGCCAAAAGTAATGGCAAAGCTTTGTAAGCACCAGGAATGCCATCTGTACATACTGTTCTTGTGTTGAATAAGAACATCTTCCTAAGTGTTGCTGCTGATATAGATGAAAATTAGCGAATAGTTCCTCAACAGTTCAAGTCACGATTTAGCCTTCCAAATAACTCTAATATAGCTAGAATCTTAAAAGTGGAATAGCTTTATCTATTTTTTTTTTTTTTTTAATGTTTAGAGGCGTTTATCTTGATATTAGAGTTCTTATTTTTCTCCTCATCTGACCTTGTTATATAAGTATGTTGATTTTTATTTTATTATCTCTACAACACCGTAATCAGTAACAATGACCTAAATTATTTTTAGTGATTTTATTAAATTTATCCCAACACAGCCATACCAATAGTTAGCCATGAGATTCTGTAGGAACGAGCGCGTACAACAATAAACCAGTAACATAATAACTCGTATACATATATACGAGAAATTGCGAAGGGATATAAATCTAATTAACATAATAGCCTACCTGACGGACCCTTATTATTAGTGACAGAGAAAACCACAAATGGCTCCGAACAAATAACAAAAATCCTGTTAGAGTTTTTAAATCTAACATACAATATAAACGCGAGGTCGGATTTAAATTTTGTTTAAAAATGACCAAAAGAAATAAATAAACAGAATAAAAGATTCATTTAAAATAGTTCGCATGAAATATAAGCCAAAATATACAATTCTCCACCGCCATTTTAATAACATTTATTAACCTAAAACGTCGTCTATAAATGTTTGTCATTTGCAGGTAAAACTGAGTGAAATTTTCTCAGATTAGGTTAAACCTGTCATTACCTCATTAAGAAGACAGAACAACGTATACTGCAAATTAAGAAGGCAAACAACGAGTAGTGTACTTTAATTAAAAGTTACTTAATTTCTAAAATTATGTTACATTTAGTCGATGCTGTTATGTAAACTCATATATAACTAATTAAGTTTGTTACCTTTGCGCCGCCTGTGTTATGTAAACTCATATTATAACTAATTAAGTTTGTCTGAAATGACCGCAAACTTACCGTGTAGGATTTATGAATGTTGTTTACTTTCGTAATATATACAAATAAGAAGAAAGAAAGATAGTTAAAAATTATATCACAAAAGAATATTTGCTATACATTCTCAAGTGTGCGTGTAAAAATGTTTCAGAAGTTATTTGCGGTAAAACTTTCATATAACAGTCTAGCTTGTTTAAAGAATTAATCACACTTGAAATATTAATCCTCACAAATTTGCTCATTTTAAACTCTAGAACTTAGTAAGGCCTGCATGTAATTAAATGACTTAGAAAAACATTTTATGTAGACACCACAGAAAACTTCATTGTAGAGCCTATGAAATTATATACATTTTTTACTGCACTTCATTTAAATTTATTTCCTCGAATTAGTGTAACTTAATCAACAAAGGCAAATTGACAATGACGTCAAAAATTGCAAATTACGAAATTACGTATCCCAGTCAATTTTTGTCGTACGGGTGTCAAAAAACTTACAATTTCATTTTTTCATAATAACTTTAAAACTTTTAAAATAGGAGCCGGGCATCGCATTAAAAGTTAAATTTCGTGATTTATCAAACATTATTCATTTTTAATTTGACATTGCCATAACATGAATGTTTTCGTCATAAACATTTATGTAACTGGAAGTATATCTACGACCAAAGATTGCGAAAATATTTGGAGAAAAGAGTGCTTTATTCTATCTTTAGTACAGATGTCATGCAAAAACAAATAGTCAAAATGGCTATTTCCGTTGAAGTATTATAACCCAAATTTTTAGTGATTATAATACTTCCTTTGCTACAAAGAAATAAAAAAGATTAAAATTTTCTAATTATTTGTTTTTTTAATTGTTACGTACCATTTCTTTAACTTTATTATTTGCAAATTTAATTCTTATCTGTTTCCTTGGTGTGTTTTCCTTGGTTTCGGGTTCTTCATGGATTAAATACATCCAAAATTAATGATAGCTTGCTAGAATTTATTTTACCAAAAGAAACACTTCGCATTTCTGGAACTTTCGATAGAAATACTCGTACAGCTCTTCTCAGTAAGATAGAGCATAGCCAATAACTGCCAGTTTAAACTATTAAGAGTGTTAAACACAATGCAATGCGAAGCACCTCTAAAGAGCGAAGTTCTCACGGAGATATCGCAGTACTTCAAAGTCGACTCTGAACTAAAACCTGAGAACTTATGCTCTCTCTGGTCTTATGTAGTTTTCCCTTGGCCACCGAAGCGTTTCCAGTACCTTCCGTTTCTCAAAATTACTGAAAGGCAAATACAATACAAGTTACAACGAAGGACAGGATACGGTAACAGTTACACATAGGGATCAATTATAGTTATTCAATTACAGTACCAGTTGCAGTTATACAGAGACCGGATTCAAATGTTGCCAAATTTTCGCCATGTTTGGCGACTTTTAAAAATTTTTCGCCAAATTTTGCGACAAAAATTAGTTGCCAAAACTATCGCCAATTTGGCGATATCTCTTCGATTTTGCGAGATAGCCACTTATCTCAATGTTAAATAGACTTCCCTCTGTAATCTTATTTTTCTGGCACAGTTTCGCGCTCATCAGACTTTTCATATTACATTATACAAAATTCGTAACAATATGTACAAATCCTGTAAAACTTATAAGTGTCATTTAATGAAGGAAAAGTAATTTTTAATTTGCAGTATGATTTACCAGTTTTTCAGTATTTTCATATACTGAGTTATTACTTTTGTGTGTTAACAGTTCGCATAATCTTTGTGAATTAAAATGCCAGAAAAGCAAAAAAATGATTGAAACATTTTGAATCCTATTTATAATTCCAAGCGGTAATAATTATTACAGGTGAAGATATCCAGAGCAAATTCGGAGATCTTCATCAATTTACATCCTGAATATAAATAGTATAGTTGGGCTCGACAACTCATTTATATTCATAATTAAAATAAATCACTGTACACAAGAACTCATTAATGGACTGTATATGAAAATTTAATTTCTCAAAAAGCTGCATAATTCACTCTTCGCGACGTCTCAAAACACACTCAAAACTCAATATAAGTGGCCGTAAGGTGGCGCAATAAAACAAACATCAGCGTCATCTCTTTAGAACACAAAATATTACAACTTTTTTCCCAGGTGGCTCCTCTAACGTCGACAATACTGAATACAAAAAACGTATGGCAAAACTTAACCTTCTACGCCACACACATTTTTCCCTTCGCTTTTTCTAATATAAATTTATATCAATTCATTTTAGGTTATGAACTTACGCATAAAATTCTGTTGTAAATTTTAAATAAGTAATCATCTATAATCCAAGAATAAATTAATCCACTTCATATTAATTTCTATGGGCAAAATCGTTTTGATTTACGGACATTTCGGATTGAATTAAATTCGTGAACCGACTTTATACTGTATGCCTAGACAATATTTCTTTAACTGCAACTCTTAAAACAGCTGACCTTTTACAAACGTTCCACTTATTCCTACATAAATTTCAGAATACAACTACTGCAATGAAAGTATACTCAATTACTGCATAATGGAGACCCGAAAATTACATTAATTCTACATCTATAATCATACCTAGGCAAACAAGTTATTCAAGACCGTAACGAAATTGACTCCCTGTATCCCGAGCTCGACATTTATTGATTATCAAGAAGACTATAGATAATGTGAACTGCTACAGATAATTCAATTTTCTCCTGAACGTGCTCCATTAACATCAGTATACGATTTCGCGACGCATGAATAAAGGTATTGCAGTTGGTAAATGTAGCAGCTGTCTCTCTGAGGGTAGTTTATATCTGCTGCCGACAGCTGTGGGATTTTGATGGATAATTGATGGATTTTACGTAGCTTAGTGCGCATACGCTTGAAATCAAATTAATTGGGCTGTGGTACTTTGTGGTATGGGTTACAGTGAGTAAATGGAATGCTTTTCGATGAGAGATGTGGTAAGTTGTAAGAGGGTTCTGAAGTAACATTTTCTGTAATCAAGATTTATTCGTATACAGTAATCAAGTAATTTTTTAATAATATATATTTGCACAGTGTCTTAGCATCTGTTTTTGAACTTTCGAAGAATGTAATAAGCATACTAACCCAACTGTTCGAATGAGTGATATGAATTTGTTTGGTAAATAAGCTTGGTGTTGGTTTATGAATTTTTAGTATTTTTATCAGACTTGAGTATTATAAAGGATTTTTTAAATTATAATATTTTAAAAAGCTATTAAATTAATTAAGATCAGAGATCTTGAGCTCGTGTTCTACGGAACCCTGACATTCCGTGCGATTCGTCTTACCTCCACGAAAGGTGTACACTTAGAAAATCAAAGCTAGTTGTGAATGTTGAAACATTTCTAACCTTTTTCTTTAAACGACTTTCATTGACTCCCCCTTGCATTTTTCGCTATAACGTGCAGTATACAATATAATCATAATACAAATAATAACTTAAATATCCAAATATAGCAATTCAGAAATTTTTAAACTTTTCTTTCAATCTAAAAATTAAATTATGGACAAAAATTTTGAAAAAATAGTTGATTAGATTTATGTTAATTGTTTTTTGTATTATTATTCATTTATTTTATAATGAGAAAGACGTCAAAGATTCTGACTTCACAAAAGTTCAGTTTTTAAACTGAAAGTTTTTAATTGATTTAATTTTTTAAAAAGAAATTTTAATTAATGTGATGCATTATTTTTAATAAATACTGGATGTGGGGTATGCGGTAAGACTGTATACCCCCAAAAATGTAACACAATAAGTGCATTCTACATTCTTTGGGAAGCTTCAGATGCTCATTTTCATGGCGCAACTCTACCCTTTTTTGTCAGCTGTTATAAGACATGCAGATTTGGGGGTTGGGAGGAATTATTAGTCGGTAAGGCATTAGCATTTGACCTACGGTACATTGCTGGTGTCTTTCGTACTTTTACCTGTACCTGCATAAGTGTGTTCTTGCCCTCTCCTCTCCGCGGGTGTAGTATCGGCTTCCTCATGTTGTGCAGCCTCGATACTGTTCTGATGGTGAAATTGCTAACTAGCTGATGCGTTTAGATATCATTGCCGAGGAAGGTTTAATCATAAAGTGACCGATTCTTAGATTAAAAGAAAAGTTTAAAAAATAGGGGGGGGAGAATATCGCGAGAAAAACAAAACCTACTGAGGAAATATAAAATAGGATGCATTATATAACTGACTGCAAGCCAAAACTGTTTAAAGGCCACTTTACTAATACTTGCGTTTTTCTACGCTTCACTCCTCTCCATACACACCATGGAGGTAAGAAAGCAAGGAGGGCACAATTAGGTTTTTACTAGGGCAGCACTGCTCCAAGGCTTCGGTCTCCTGATTTTTTTTTTTTTTTTTTTTTTTTTTTTTGTTTACATTCAGAAACTCCCTTGACAGCGCTCTGTTAATGTTTCAACACACGACAGTCCACACAAATCGAAAAAATCGGGACACTTCCGCATAAAAGAAATATTCATTGTGTGATAGATATTAGCAATTTGTATAGTTTAGTAACATTTTATGCAAAAATCACATCTTGGTTATTTTTCGATCACTAACAACAGCAGTTTTGATTATGAATTTATTTTATAAAATTCTAAGCTGCTGAACTACAAAAATATATATTTTAGCAAAAATCTTATGCTTAAAGAATGAAAAATACCTTACGGTACCTTTAAAATTGTATACGTCTTTCGAAACACTTGTTAGAGTATTCGCTACTTTTATTTTATGTTCCACACGCCAAAATGTTTTAAATAAAATAAATCTAATAATTAAATGTATCTAAATTTATAATGAATACAAATATTATCTAATAAACTCTTAAATTATAACTTTATATATATTATTATTACAACCTTAAATAACCTAAATGTACAATAACCTTAAAATGAATTGTAAACATAAATTGAAATCCTGTTGACAAATACGTTCATAAAACTATTTAAGCAAGAATTGTTCGTACTGGAAAGCAATCTGTTAAAAGGTGTTGTAAAGCAAATTCTATGAAATGTGTACTTAGGGAAGTAATAAAGAAGAGTTTTATAATTGACATCGTTGAAATTAAGGGTAGGGTAAGAAAAAATATGATAAATGTAATTAAAAGAACTATTTCCTTACATTTTATAATAACTTAGTTACAAGTTTTAAATAATATCTTTTAAAAATCTTTTTTTATTCCTTTTCAGAAATGTTCAGAGAAATTTAAGTACATGGAAATGAGCGCCAATATTCAACTATTAAAATATTTCACGATTAAAATAAAAGGTGCTCTAATTTGAAATGGTCCGAATAGAGCATTAATTATAAATTGACTTAGATCTTTCGATTTATAAGATGCCTCAGAAGCTAAAAAAATCATGTCATATCTGAGAAAGTATTTTAGGAAGAAGCTCTGTAAATAGAAAAGAAATAAAGCATAATTTTATTTATTACTTTGAAATTACTTTACTACTTTATTACTTTGATCTTAATTTTTGCAATCCTTAACCGAATAAAATCGAATAACCTTAATTTTTTTCTTATGCAATTAACGAAAACTTGTGAAAATATTTCTTTCAAATTAAACTGTTCCGTGATAAGTATAGCATTTAATTGCGTTCAGAATGAAACGTTGTTCAAAAATGTACTCTTTTCACATACTTAGAACTTTGAAATATTGTATTAAAGAAATTACATACATTTATATGTATGTTTAAGGCGTAATTACAAAATATTTACATCCGATCATGTCAAAGCCCAATGATCCCGCTTAATGATAAATCACTGAATGTTTTGGTCACCACGAAGGAATCACAAGTGCTTCATAGCAGTGTATGGCGATAACCGGATAGGGCCTCTCCTTCTTACTTCCTACCTCCATGACACACACCCAGAGGAACTGTTTTACTTTATTCTATTAGAATAGAGAACAGGTCTCCCCAATTCTATTGGAATAGAATTGGTTAGACACAACTTTTAAACAATTCTCCATCCCTTCGTGTATATGTTATGGACAAAAGGATAAATGGTGTCATTGAGGTTTATGTCCGCTCAGTATTGATTAGACCACTCGGCAAGGTAATATACATAATGTCTTCGAACATTATGTGTAATGGAAGCACTTGACTATAACTAGAATCTGCAAAACGTTTCGCAAGGAAATCCCCTCATAAAAAGGACAACCAGGAATAAAATTAATTTTGCTGTTTAAATGTTTGTTTCTAGAAAAATAACATAAAATATTTTTAGCTTTTGAAGAAGAAGAAACCATATTAGCCACTTTCGAAATGCATAGAATTTTTATATAAGATTGGCATCAATTTAAAGCTGAAGTTTCATAACTGAAACTTTCAGATTTGTATTCTTTTTTATCCGTCGTATAGAATTAAAATCTTTACAATCGTAGAACAAAAGTGAAGTTGATGTGAAAAAAATTGGGGGATATTGAGATTTTATTTTAAGGATCTTGGTTTTACTAGACGTTATTTGCATATCGTGCCTATCTGTTTTTCTTTTATATATATCCCAAACGGTATACTTTTTAGTATTTTTGTATTTCAAATTCAAGACAAGCATATTTCAAAACCGAATTTCATTCTTCATCCCCTTTCTTCAGTTCCACACTTTATAAAATAAATTTTGAGATCAAAAATGCAAAATTGATTTTAAACTTTTTTTTTAAATTTACGATTTTGATTACAAGCAAATTTAAACTCTTAAAATCAATATCAACCAATTTAAAAAATTGGAGGATATAAATTTAGAGATTTTATTTTAAGGATCTTGGTTTTATTAGATGTTATTTACATGTCAAACATATCTGACGTTCTTTTATACGCATTCTGTTCTTCCCAAACGATATACATTTCGATATTTCTGAATTTCAAATTTAAGACAAACATACTCAAAACAGAATTTCATTCTTGAACCACTCACTTCTGTTCCACACTTTACCGAAAGTTTTTCAACAAAGGCTGGCTGAGAAAAAGCTTTAGGAGTACTGTCTATCTTGTTTATTTGGATCCGTTTTTCATGCTCTCAAAATAGTTCTTTTAAGAAATCAAAATTCTCAGAAAAACTATATCTCAAACTTACAATCTTGAGTTATCCATAAAAACTGCAAGAATATTCCGTGCACGTCTTTGATGCAAGCTTCCATAAATCTGCATAAAAGTTTTTCGTAGAGAAAAAGATACGCTAGCAAACTCTCCAAAAGAAAGCATTTGCCGAATATTTGTTATTATGATAAAAGTGGTTTCACGAGAAAGTTTAACTTGTATCTGATGAAAGAAATAAGACTTTTGCCTTTTTTAATGTAACTACGTAAAACGTTAACGAGATTTTGTACTTTTTTACTCACGCCAACCTGTAAGGGAAGCAAAGTTTTCGGTCCAAAAAATATTCGATAGTGAGTTTTTAGTGAATAAGCACGAATTAGGGTCCACACAACACGTTGTACTATTTTTGCGATGATGCCTGTCTGTCGGTCTGTGTGTACGTGAGTATATGTGCGACGGTTTTTTTGCCCACGGTAATTCTAACATGAAACATACAAAAATTTCTGCTTTCCGTATTTAAGCATTCTGCATTCATGTAGAGAGTTCATTAAATTTCGAGTAAAACTGGACAATAAAAAGGAACTGGTAATTTGACTGTGGAAATTATGACTATGAAAAGCCATATTAAAGTATAATACAAAAAATTTACAATTTCAATGTGTAAGATTATTATATCAAGGGGGAACAAGTACTGTTAGTTCTCTGTAAAAAGGAACATTCTAGGGAACATTGCTACAGTTGAAAGAAATCAGTTCTGAAAGTTAGCGTTTGATTGAGTTGACTTTTCTAATCCTACTGTTCATTCGATTCTATTCGATGTTCATTTAAGGGGTATCAGAAACCCCTATACCGACAATGTTAAATTGGCCATTTTCGATGTACCTTTTCTCAACATCTGCTGTTGATACAAGCTTGAATTTTTGTTTTTGTAATAAAGTATGCCTATTATATATGAAGAGCTTTGAAGCCTTTGAATTTAGAGTAATGCAAAATATTTTTAGGCATAGTAAATTAGCCTTTTATCACACAAAAATTTTTTTTTAAAAAAAAGTTCTGATTTATTACAAAAGTCATTCAGTAAAATTAGGGAACTAATAAAAAGCATAAAAAGTTAAGATATGTGAGCAGTATTTCCTGAGAAAAGGTAATCGAGTATAAAAAATCACGTGCGAAAACGCGTTTTATGTTAAAATCCTCATTGATCAAGCAATAAATGACAAATTAAAAATAGATTCTTTACAGTTCTAGTTCTAGAGATTAAATATGGTTTTTTAGAAGATAAATGTGTAGAGAATTTGAAAATGCAAAAATCCGAAATCAAAATTTTTTGAAAATTTTGGGGTTCTAACACCCCTTAATTCTCGTTAACCGCTCTTGATTCATACCTCGTTCCTGATATTTTTCTTTAAAGTTATTGTGGGTGAGGGTTGAGCATAAAAACGAATTCATCCAGGATAATCAGCGTGTGGATCCGATCTCATAAAGAAGAGATTTTTCCCGTTTTGAACAGGCTGTAGAAAATATCGGGTTTTCGAAAGTGAGAAATATGAGCAATCAATAATACTGTTCTCAATATTCGAATCGCAGATAATGACATTGTTCAAACTGCTCAGCAGCATACGTGATTTCTTCTCTTTTTTACCCATTTGTTATAGTATATAAATTGTATTTTGTATTAATTTTAGAATATTTTAATTAATTAAAGTATTTAATGGCTCTTCCAGCACACTTTTCAATAATGCTACTGTCAGGAACTTGATTACTTTCATTATGTCACCTTTTCTGTTCATTTCTGTCATAAATAATTTCCATTTTTGAAGAAACATAATAAAATTGACTGATAATTGATAATACACATACAAATATATACTGAGATGATTTAAAAAAAGAAGAAAAAAAAGTGAAAAAAATTCCGAACTATGTTTTATTTAAAATCAATCGGTTTAAAAACAGAGTTCGCTGTTAATTCTAGTAACATCTAATTAAGTTCCTCTTCTACATCGATTTTTAATAAATAACTGACACAGTTCTGAAGTAAAAGAGAATAAACACTGTAGTGGGTGTGGCATTCAAAGCACTGTCAACATCTCAAAAAATCTTTATATACCATTTACTATTCTCAGATCGTTTTAAAATTTCTTTTTAGCATAATAAAAGTATATTTTTATGAAAAAAACTGGAAACTCCGTACTTTCATCGATTTGGGGTTGCAAGGCTCCTTTAATAAGTAAATTAATTTTCGGATTTATATCTTACATCGTGAGACACATACTTCCTATGCTCATATTTTCATCATTATTTAATAGACTTCTTGCATTTTCTGTGTCAGAAAGTAATTTATTTCCCCGGATCGTAGTTTTCCAAAAGAAAACAAGCGTACTATTGCGTTCTGTATGTCCCAATCTGTAACGGTAAAATGCAACAATGTTTCACAAATCTGAAACAATTTAAAATACAAAGCAAATATAGATGAAAGTCCATAGAATACGAAATAAATATTTAATTTATTTATAACATCAAAAATATTTAAATATAGTTATAGAAATATTGATTCAAAAACAAGGTCTATTTTTACCACAACCGGTTAAGCCCTGTGTAGTCATTTTCAAGGTCGCTGAAAATGTTAAGAACTAATCCCCATTTTACTAACGGAACAGAAAAGAAACTTATATTCTGTGAAAATATATTTAATGCTTTTGAATGTTTTAAACAAAGGAATATGAATTCTCTCATTCAATTCATAAATATCTGTGGCACGAAAATCTTTAAATACTATATTTAGCAAAAAGAATATTTTGAAAATATGCATTTGAAATTCTGAATAATATGAATTTATATTATTTTCATTTAGTGAACATCAAAACAATTATGATCATACTAACTATTGTAAATGCATTCATAAATTATGGTAATTAACAAATTCATTATTTTTTTATCTGGATTTTTTTAATTTTTCGCTTTAGCTAATTCGTAAAACAGTGCAGACAGAAATAACCAGAAAAGTACAACTCCAATAAAATATCTAGTACTAAAAAAATTATACTAATTTTGTAGGTTTATTGTCTTAGAATAAAAGGCCATACTTTATTGACATTATCTTCTTTTCAGATGGTGATGGTAGGCCATCATTGGGAATCTTGTCAGCTTCATTTTTATTGCCTTCTTTCCAGATTATTGAAGATGATAAAGCAACACGAATTAACGTCATATTCATAATTTTGCAGGACTAGTTTCGAAGGCTTGAATGTAGAAGCTTCTAATTCAGTTGAAGAATTGCAAATGTTGAAAGAGAAATTTGTACTAAATATTGATTCAAAAACAAGGTCTATTTTTACCACAACGGTTAAGCCCTGTGTAGTCATTTTCAAGGTCGCTGAAAATGTTAAGAACTAATCCCCATTTTACTAATGGAACAGAAAAGAAACTTATATTCTGTGAAAATATATTTAATGCTTTTGAATGAAATAAAGTCAAGATAAAGTCGATAAAAATGAAAATAAAGTCAAGCTACTGGCGCCATCTTTTGATGAAAAATGAAAACTGCGAAATAATTTTCTTGAAAATTGGGGCTAAGACAGCAAGAACTTGAGGCGTATGTTAAGAAACAAACGCATAAATTCTCAGCTACCCAACTCTTTAGATTAGAAAAATCACATTTCTCTTTTTCTGCAGCGAAAATTATTCAAAAAACGTCTCCTCTTGGCGAATTAGGATTTCTAGAAAGGTTTCACGTCCATAAAAATAGTTTACTTTTTTGTTAACGATTCTAATTCCAGTCTGTCTTTAAACCCAGCTTTTAAAAAAATTATTTCATAATTGTTTTAATTTTCCATCAATAGATGGTGCCAGTAGCTTAACTTCATTCTTCTCATCGTTATCGTCTGAGCACAGGCTTCTCTTCCGTCATTTGCACTTCTGCAGCTGAAGAGGAAGATTCTATATTTAAACCTTCGAAACTGGTCTTGAAAATTTAGGAATGCTGATTCTTGTTGCCTTAGATTCTCCAATAATCTTATTCGCCGTGTTAATTTAAATCACATTCTTTACAGTTGTTGATGGTACGTTCTCTCTTTAGATATTAATAATCTTACCGTTAATACCTTCTTTCCAGATTTTAACAATGATTCATCCGTCGGGATGTCAGTAACCTTAGTATTATTTACCTTCTTTCTAAATGGCTAATAATGAATCATCGTTCATGATGTTGATAATCCTAATTGTTATTATCTTCTTCGCAGATGTTGACGATGGATCATCTATCGGAATGTCGATACCTCCCTTCCTGGCGGCTGGCCTAACCCTCAGCCTCGTTTTACTTGGAATCGTAGCTTACTTCAGCTACCGATGGCTGGTGCAGCGGCTGCAGTCATCAACCAAACCCTCAGAGCAACAGGACCCCGAGCAGTCCACCTCCAGTGGTCAACAGCAGTCTCCTGATTGTAAGCTAACATCTACTGAGCAAAGAGAAGACTCATTCAGCAAGGAAATGGGAGCTGATCCACAGAAATCACCCACGGGTGAGTGTGTAATTAAACAAGCTGTTTAATACACTGATAAACAAGAATATATAGTGTCCACAAAAGATGTATATAACTTTATATTACCTTCACGAACAACAATAACTGATAGTTAATTACATTTATTACTTCCTTGTACGAAGTAAAAGGAAAGTAATCGCCAAAAATTTCAGACATCATATTTTGACAGAAATATCCATTTTCACCGCTATCGAATGCAATTTAACGATGTTTTTGTGTGACATCTGTACGTGAGGACAGGATAAAGGACTCTTTTACACCAAAAAAAATGTAAAACTAATTTAAAATGAATTCTGAAGAGAATTTTTCGTGGCGTCTGTGCGTACGTATGTATCTCGCATAACTCAAAAACGAGTAGTCTCAGAACGTTAGCATTTTGTATATAGGGACGGCCATAACATGTAAATGTGCACCTCGTATTTTGGTTGCAATCAGCCGCACCAAAAGTGTACAACTTGTATATATATATATATATATATATATATATATACTCTGTTACTCGCTCAGTGATCTCAGTTTCTTATCTTATATGTTTGTAAATTGTGCATTTTTTGCTTTAAAAATAATGGAATTATGTTATTCTTATCTTCCGGTTAAGGTTTTTATGCCTGTAGAAATCTGTCTGCAATATTTTTTAGAATTATCAGAATAAAGTTGTTAAGTGTCACAAGCCATAATTTTTTCCATGGGGCTATTGCTTATTTACATTTGAAACAGACAGAAGTAGAGATTTGTTGCCAATCTAGAGAAAGTAAGCTTTGCAGTAAAAAGATAACGCCTTCTTTTAATCGCTTTCTTTAAAGTAAATCATGCTTAATCCATTCTGGAATTTATTCGAGGAAATAACTTTAAGATTTATTTCATAATTTTCAATACAGACATCTTCAGTTTTAATGTATTTTTCCTTGTCGCGAAGTGAGAACTGAATTTATTGAATGAGAAATACTGAATCGTCTGTGAAAAAACTTTTTTTTGTTGTTGTTCTTTGTTTAAATTTTTTTATAATCGTTTTAGATTATTATAGTATTTGAATAGAACCTGTGGCAACGATAAAAAATTCTTAAGATGATATAATTTTGTGATTCTGATAAAATATGAACGAAAGGTAACATGTTAAGAGAACCTAGCGCCAGAGTGTCGCTATGGTAAACAAATATAGTGAATTTTAAAGAGTGCATTTGTTCTGTTGTGGTTTATGCGCTATCGACGAAGCAACATTAATTCAATGCAATAAGTTTAAATGAAATACAAGAAAAAATGCGTATAATTTAATATATCGTACAAGGAAGTCATGTGGTGCACACATCAAATTTTTTTTTTAAAAAAAAACATTATAATTGCAATGAACGTTTCTGCCCAATATACACGCATACGAAGATTTAAAATAAATAATATATATAAAATGAAACAATAGATTTCAATGTAATAATGCAGAAACATTGATAGCATAGAGTACAGAATGTTCAATCCGTAATAGACAGTAAACTTAACAGCCGAGGCAGATTAAATATCCATCTTTATTTCAACTGTCACTTGCGGCCCCGCAATTTAATTTCCACTCTAATGGTGTCTATTCAAGAACCTTTATAGTTTTGATAATGTTGCGATAGGAAAATATCAGTGAGGCAGCGTCTTAAAGAGAACAAAAGTAGAAGCGAAGTGCATATTTATTCATTATGGAAGCTCACCAAGAGAAAGGTTTCATCTCTCCAAATTTTAAGTTTCGAATTAGCTACGTCATCAAGTCATATGATATAGATAGATCTGGAAATGACGCAGTTAAGAAATAGTTATTAATATTTTTATAATAAAGAGGGGAAATACCCAAATTAAAAATGAGAAATTAAGCGGCTATTGCTAATTTAAATTCTAATTTTGATTTACATATTTTTTCTTACATATATACGTATACAGAGAGGGATGTTACGGGCAATATATCAAACGCCAGCATTCTATAGAATACCTAGGCATTTTATGGACTGGAATGCATGGCGTTTTCAGACGAAGTATGAAATATGAGAATAATTATATATTTTTCCTAGGCATTGCATATAATACTGTAGAATAACAATTTTTTTAAAAAGACGAGCATTCCCCCAAAATGCATTTTTTTAAGAAACTTTAAATTCTTTTAATCAAAATAGGTAAGGAAAAATTAAAGTTGTACAAAACAAAATTTATGCCTTTCCAATTAACGAAAACAATGTATGAAAACATGAAATTATGAAATAAATGCGTTAAATGTATGTATTATGCATGAATGTATTAAATGAATAGATATTCGAAACGAATCGTAGATGTATTTCATGTTGTGCCGTTTTGTTATTTGGACATTCTGTAGACTGCATATAAAATGTTAATCTTTTCATACATCCCCAGCCAGTTTACGACATTCTAAGAAATGGCTAGGTATTCTGTAGAATACCAGTTTCCATGCATTGCTGGAGGAAACATTTCTGCACTAACTATAATTAAAAAATTCTTGCTTATTTAAATTTTTATGAATTTCTTTTAAATAAGTTCGTTTTCTCTAAAAATTTGACTTGCAATATTTTTACTTTTCATTTACAGAGTTTTTTAGCAGTTTTGCATTCTGTTTCGTTCGAAATTTATTTAACGTTTATTTAACACATTTCTTTTAATTTACTTAATGATTGTTCTGGTTTCTTAGGCGAGAGTTCTTTATATAATATTTATTTTTGCAGTATTTTTTCTTTTATTTTACAATCACGTCGAACTAGATTTTATCTTGATGATTAATTAAAATTAAAAAAATTTTATTTTTATTTTATTTTATTAATGCATAAAAATTAAACTATTAAAGTTAATTTTTTAAAAAAAATTATAGAACTTTTACAGAACGCCGAATACCAAAATAAAAATTGACGCCAAAATAAAAATGTATGTTAATAAACGATAATGAAATGAGAAAGTAAAAGTTTCTAAGTTTATAGTAAACAAGCGGCACTTGTTATTTATGTGAATATTTGTTAAATTAACTATTATATCTAAAGTGTATAATTTTGTTTTTTCCTAATTCAGAAAGAATATCGTATTTCTTCAAGTAATTTTTCTCTTTACTTAACTATTTCTATCGTTCGAAGATCGAGAGGGGAAAGTTATGCGAATAATTTAATTCCGAAGAACGTGGTTACAGTTAAGGTCATAATAAACGAGAGGTAGCTCTATAAACTATCGTTAACTATTACAACATTATTTATTCAAAAGAAATCTACATTCCAATAATTATACACAGTAATATTACATTAACATATCTGACAGTTAGCTTGCTGGATATTTGATGTTAATGAACTGGACACGTCTTCCCCAGTTAACGAGGCGTCTGGGTCAATTAACTTGTGAAGCCCAGGGGCACCTCCCATTAATGAGCCATGACCACAGTTCCCAAGAGGAATATCGGAGGAACGAAAGAGAAAGAAAATGGCAAAAGAAATGGATTTTGAAAGATCCAAGACATCAGCAATAGATAAATTTACAATGAGCTGAAATGTAAATAGTTGAAGAAAAGTGAAATGGCATGTTTGAAAAATTCTTAAATGTGAAAATACCTGCCACGTCAGGTTAAATTAACGAAACATCCGCGTAAAGTGCGTTTCAAATAACAAATGTAATGGATAATAAATGAATGAAATGCTAATACAAAAATGTAAATACAAATCGAATGCGCAGTAAAAAATAATCATGGGACTACAATTTATCAATAAACTAACCCTCGGAGAAAAAAACTGTGCACAACAGAGGAAGGGGAAGATTTTGCGAATATTTAAAAAAAATTTAGAACTTAGTGCGAAAAAGCTGGGGTAGGAGTACAAAAGGAAATGGAATATATCTAACGCGTATGCTCCTTTTCCCTAATTAAAAAAGAATAAGAGTAGCTCTTAAACTGCAAAAGCGTACGAGTAAATTATAATTGTTAACTCAGAATAAAAGCAAAACGTTACAAAAGCTTTGAAAATCTTCTAATTCATATAGCCATTACATTTCTTGAAAACCATCAAGAATGTTGCAGTTTTTTCGCTTTAAATAAATGATACTCATTACTTTTTGCTTCTAGGGAGTACTACTCCTTCGGTCAAGATAAGTCATAGCCTTCCAGATATAAAGGAAGAGGTGAATAAGGAATGGACAGATGTAAACAGGAAAGTGGCTCCACCTCGTCAGACAACACTCCCCACGGTTCCAACAAGGCACCAAACCTTTCAGAGACAACTGTCGCATAGGCTAGACCTATCCGATGTTCCATTTGAAGGTATGTGCTTTATGCTTGGAATTGGTTTTCAAATAACCCAGTATCTTTACCTATGACTATTGCTGAGAACTTCCAGAATTTCAAATTTCTTTCAAGAAACATGTAAGGTTCTGCTATGTCTAGAAGCTTGTCTCAATGTCCTACAGGGCCTACTAGACTTGGAAACGAGTTATCACTGTAGTCTGAAGCATATGAACAAGCTGTTAGAAGGTTAAAATAACCTTTTTATCTAACGCTTCTGTAGCACATACTTGTGCTACACACGAACATTTGCTATTTGCCATATTTAATATAACGCTAGGTAATGTAATTGAGTTAACTCTTTCCGGCACGCTACCTTTTTAAGTTGGAATTTTGATAAAAAAAAAGGTAGGCAGTCTAATTAGGCCTAGAGGAGTATACAAGTAAAGAAGAGATGCATTTATTTACCGCCATCGCAATCAATAGAGTTGTATTCAAAATCGACGCCAACATAAGGTTGCTTTTTTGCCCAATTTTAAATATTGTTATAGATTAATGCAAATATTTGTTATAAATTTGTTTATATCTCAGAAATACTCTACAGTTCCGAGTAATAGGGTATGAGATCTAAATAATTTACGTTAATCTTCAAGTAGCACGGAGAATATAGCAGTATATTCATATATCACGCGTAAGCACGAAAGTATTTAATTTATAAATGACACATTCTAAGACATTGTCCACAAGACGTGAATTGTACGGTTACACACATTTTTATTGCAGTTCGCTTCCCATTATCTTCTGGAACAAAAGGAAAGGAGTTACAAAAAATTAAAAATTATATATTTTCATCAAAGTGCTGCATGAGCAGAAAACCGTCGGTTGGAAGTACACTTTTTATATGATAATGAATGTTATTAAACAAAACACTAGAGCATGCGTGAAGCTATGTTTCATACATTTTATGGCCTGTTCTCGTTTGAGATGCCTTTTGTAAGCTAGTAATTAACGTATTTCCTCTTGTATTTTTTCTCTTTTTGAACTAATATTATCGTCGGAAAATCGAGAGGGAAAAATCATGCGATCAATTTAATTTCCAAAAAACGCTGTTGTATTAAAGACATAACAAATGAAACGCAGTCATGGATAATCTACTGGTAAGTATCACAATATTATTTCTTCAAAGGACACCTGTATTCCGATAAGAATACATAATAATATTAGCATTATAATATCTGATGGGCATTGAGCTGATATCTAACAGATATCTGATGGTAATTGAGGACGCAACGTGTTGGGCTCAATTACCTTGTAAAGCCCTGGGGCATCTCACATCACTGCGGCATCTGAATTACACTTGACCGCAGTTTCCAAGAGGAACATCAGAGGAAGGAAGGAGAAGGGGAACGAACAGAAGACCCGGATTTCCAAAGTTCGAATACATCAGCGGTAGATAAAGCTGGTATGAGCTGGAACGTGAATAATAGAAGTAAGGTTAAAATACCCGGTTGGAAAGTTTCTCAAGTTTAAGAATACTTGATTGTCCTAGTTTAATCATTATCCCTTGATTGTCCTAATCAAGTTTAAGAATACTTGATTCATGAAGAATATGACAGAAATCGTTTGAAATAATAAATGCAAGGAAAAATAAAAGGATGAAATGCTGTTACAAAAGTTAAGATAGCAGCGGAATAGACAAAGAAAATAATCGAAACAATATAATTTACCAATAAAATAGCCCTCATAGAGGAAATGTATAAACACAGCACTCATTAATTTTGAAATACAAAAACAGTTCAAGTAGAACGGGAGGTACAGAACCCGTTCCCACAGAAAAAAGTGGGAAAAGGGGACAGTTCTGTATCTCCTGTTCTACTGGGTCGATTAACGAAATTCAAATTGCGTTTTTCAGGTCTCGAAAGCGCGAAGTAGGATATATATTAGATTTAGATATAGCCTTACAATTTGCCTAAAGTCTTGAAGGAAGAGTAGCTATTGATAAAATTCCGAAAATTTCAATGTCCAAAAATAAACCTTAGATGTGAGAAATAGCGAAGTATAATAAAAAAGATGTTTTACATCTCAAATAAAAACGGATCCTAAAAACTAAAGTTCTAAAGAACAGAAACATTTGAATAATTAAATATGTTTACCATGAACTGAGAATACGAAATGCACTAAAAAAGCTATTTTTTTTTCCTAGATATACTTAGAAATTACTCCGAATGAAATGTTTTCTCTGGTTAATGAATTTCTTCTAATATTATACTCAATTAATTATTCAAACTGCGCGGACTATTTTTGCAACAATAACTCTGCATTTTTTGTTCTGTGAAGCATCGGCAGTCATGCATTTATTAATAATCAAATTTTTTAACCTGGAAATAACGTATTTCAAAATTAATGAGTGTTGTGTGTCACACTAAGCTCTACATAATTCCTCATTAAGGACGGAATGAAATGAATTTCTAATTTATTGCTGTGAGGGAAATTAATTAATTCCCAGAATGTGTTTAAAGTGTTCCTTGCTCTGGGAATTGGTTATTGCTAAATGATTCACTTTGTGATTTTACGTAATGCGTATTTCTGATTCATTCTGTTATGGTTATTTAAATAGAAGACTACAAAATTATTTGATAAGGCAACAGAGAATTCGGAACTGTTTTTGACCATCTTAAATTAAATTTTTTAAGAGTTTGGGTTTAGATTATTCAAACTACGCAAACTATGGCTATCTGCCTAAGCGGAGGGATGCCTTCCTGGAAGACTTTCTAAGGAAATCTGGCTAGCATACCCAATACACATGGGGAAATAATACATGGGGAAAGCCATACAAACTCCTGGCACGTTCGTTTCTATTCGAAATGAGATCGAAACTACCAGTGTTCAGCGATTTTACCGCTCGGCCGTTGATGAACCCTCTGTTTAAAATTAAAGATAATTTGTTGCTGTAGTTTTTGTTGTTGTTGTTACTGGTGGTTCTTCTAATTCCATCTCCTCTTGTTTCACAAAATATACACCACAAGGCTTACACAAGTACGTTACAGCACTAATAAAATAAATATAGTACAAGAGCACTGCAAACGAGTCCCTCCTTCCAAAAGTAAAAACATAAAAAATAATTAAACAAAATAAAAAAATTTAAAAAAGAAAGAAAATCTTTTAGGATTCAGATTTTAACGTTCTATAACATATTAAGGTTTTTTATGCTGTCGCAAGGCACTTCAGGTTACCAGGTTTAAGAATAATATGTTTTTTGACTCACTCCTGCTAGCACATTGTTTTGTCATTTTAGCTTTATTATTAAACATCGCTTTCTTTGCACCTACGCTAGAGTGTTAGGGGTTGCTATACATATATATATATATTGAAAATTAGTCGCTCGCTCAGCCAGCTGCCTAAGATAGTTATTATAAGAAAAAAGTATATAATGATTTTAATGAATCAAGCTAGTGTAATTTCGTAAAAATGGTTAATATTTCTGATTAGATATCTCATGATTTTAATGCATTTTTATTTGAATCAATCATAATAAAAGGTTAAAGAAGTATTCTTAAGAACGATGTTTATTGCTTTTAAATCACTTAGTTTGTTACTCGGTAACCATCCAGATTGAATCTGAAAGTTAAATATCTTTACTAAATGGCAGCACGCTGGAGCGAGGAAAATAAAAATATTTTTTATTTCCAGCAGTGACAATACATTGCTTCCAAACAGCCAAGTTCTTTGATTAAAATTGAAAGATAAATATCTTACATTTTGCTGAATAGCAACAGTTTAGCACACCGGTGTTTAAAATGTTATATTAAGTGTCAATTCGAAATCAAGGACAATTTTTATAATATTTGTAAAAAACATTTCAAAAACTTATATTTTTAAAGAAAAATGAAAGTACAAACTTTTCAAAAATTGGATTGTATATTATATTTAGTTTAGATACTGTATAATATTTCGTTGTAGTATTTCCAAATTGCCTTTTTATGTGTACTTTTTGAACGTTTAAGATATGAAAAAGTTCAGAATTAAAATGATGGGACATAGTAAAATCTAAAGTTTTGAAGTCCTTGAAGAAATTCATTTTCTTTCACAATGAAGAAGCCATATTGTATATAATGTACAAAATGTACCTTTATTTTGCTAAAACTCTAATGATTTCTTCCTTTTTACTAATGCTGTAATGCTAATGCTAATACCCTATGCTATAATGATAATGCTCTAATGCTAATAAAGGGAAGAATATGTAAGATTCAACTGCCACATTTATCTTTGTAAAAAGAAGGAGAGGAAAAGAAAAAAAATGAATTTCTTTTAATTATTTCAACTAATTTTATATAATAATAAGTTTATAATATCATAATAATAAGTTTTTAATATCATATATTGTAATCGAATTGCCGAAGTCCCGCCTGTTTGTATAAGAATGCATAGCTTATGGTGATTAACAGTATGGAGAATATGATCAAAATATAGTAAAATAAATTTGGTGAGTTGAAATAAAGTGACCAAATAAGATGCCAGATGAAGTTAAAATAAATTATACAAATTTAAAAGTAACAGATAAATGTTGCCAAGTAAGGGATTAAATCGCCAAACAACTATGTTTATATTACAATCAACCGTTTAAAATTAGGCAGAAAATAGAGACCTATTTTTAGCTTAGATTTTGAATAACTCTATTGATTTTGAGGGTGGTCAGGCACAGGTCACTCTTTTTCAGGTGAAAAAACAATTTACAGAATTTTTTTTTTCCTGCTGGAAAGAAAATTCCCTGAAAGCATTTACGCCAAACTAAGGTTGTTTTTTTCGCCTAATTTGAAATTTTATATTGTCATGTTCTGTTCCAATCACAGATGCCCTTCGAGTGTTAAGATTAAGGGTAATAGTGTGTTGAAATAATTGCCAGAAATATTCTAAAAGCAATCATAAGTGATCTTTTATATTTTCCTCATTTAAATTACATAGTTTTATTTATATTTATATTAAATTAGTTAAATTCTGTTGCTAATTTGAAGGACATTTTTTTCACCATTTAATATTATCAAAATAACCGTGAAAAAACGTAATAACATTAAGCGGCGCCTTACTGTATTCTAATTTATTGAGATGAACAAAAATTTAAATATCTGTTTTCCGCAATATGCTTGTGTTAATTCAACTGCGTTATTTTGAAATATTATTGTAGTTGAACTTTCTTTCGTGCTCGAAAAGGCACATGATATCTAGGTTGAATCTAATTTCTCTTAAGCCTTTAAGTTAATACTAGTAGAAAAGAAAGAATCTTTTAGTTCGGAATCTTCTACAGGCGGAGAGGCGGAGTTTCATTAGAAAGAGTTCCGTTAGTAGCCGGAAGTGCCCTCACCGGACCGGATATTGGAGTCGCTTTCCCTAATCTCCAATTGTGAAGTAACTCTTCCATTCTTTTACTATCACAAAGCAGTAGCCGAAAATGTGCGCTACATTTCCCTGTAAACAGAGCAGTTTAATGCGATTTTGTATAATCTTATTAAACTTTCCTCGTATACAAGTTAAACTTACTTCTTCCCCAAATGTCCCTCTATCTCTTCATTTTCCCCGTAATTTTTGAATAGGAAGTTAATGTTTTATAAAAGATTTTCATCAAGATTCAAACTTTGGAAATGGATCAATTTTTCGGAATGAATGTGAAAACCTACAATTTTATTATATCAAAATGAATTTTTTCACTTTATTTTTGATGCAGTAAACTTGTCGATGCCTTTCACCTATCGATATTTTAGTCAACAAAAATATCTCAAAATTTACTTAAAGCAATAAAGCGATTACAGGATCATTTGAAGCGATTAATTATCTTAACCAGCCACCCTTCCAAAAGGGTTTCAGAAAAGCTGAAATATTTCAGTTTAAATATTAAGTCCTCTACGAAATTCTTGAAAATTAAAATGCTGATGAATCTCCTGGAAAAGGAGGAGTTGTGCTACAGTTAATTAAAATATTTATCATTACTGTTAATTGTCCTTAAAATTACTTATCTGCATTTTCTGGACTTGTCTTGTGGCAATAATACAGTAGGCGTCGCTTAGAGTGATTACATTGGTCCACGGCTATTTTGATAACATTAATTAAATGATAACATCAAATGATAAGGAAAACATTCCCTATGAAATAGCAATGGAATTTAATTAATTTAATATTAATGTAACTAGAAAAATAAAAATAGGTAAAAGGCAAAAATTTGTTTATTAAGTTTGGCTTGTTTTGGGAGCATAAATTAGTTCCTAACTATGAACAGACGTAAAGCAAATTATCGCTGTGTCGAAAGTAACTACAGAGCCATAAAAGGGTTTAAACAACCTTTTCATTAAAATAAAACTTTGACCATTAAACGCATTTCTTTTGCTAACAAAATCAACCACCAATTGTGGCGATCTAACTAAAGTAACTTTCAAATTTAAAATGTAGACTACACAATTAAATTTAGATCTCAGCTAGCTCAAAAAATCTAACCAGCGTATAATATTTAAATGTCGGCAACAATAACGCAAAACCGAATAATTACTAACTTCTCGGAGATGGCAGTGCGAGACCACGAAAAGCAGAAACATGCTGTGCTTTACAATCCAAAAACTTCAATTTAAACACTCTATAGGGATTTATATTTATTTTAACTAATAATTTAAAGTTTTATTTGAAACTTTCCTATAAGCCTTCATTTCCTTAATTGTCAATGCCAGAACAGTTAAATGTTGTAGTGCCCGTGAACGAATGCAAATTTTCTATTTTGAAGGAAGTAGTTAAAAGCCGAGTTTCGGTAGGAGAAAGAGAGAGTTAGGATCTAGTTTGCTGTCTCTGCCGTAGGTACGTTTGCTTATTACTGGTTCAAGTGGCTTAATTGCATTGCCTTGCTGCCATTAGTTTAGAAGGGGGATGAAGTTACGGAATCTCGCTGAAGTTACAGAATCTTACATTTTATCACTTGTTAATATTTCAACTTTTAATTTCAATTATCTGACTTCAGTTACCGCTCAAGTAGAGGCGAAGTTTGTTAGTGTTGAGTTAACACATTGTAAATTTTAAAGATTTAATAAAGGGTACGTGAACCCATCTTCGCACTATCCCATCTTCCCATAGTTTCCTGCTACTCCAGTATACAGACAGAAGTTCATTCACTGTACTCTACAACTCTATAACCTCCTTTACATTCTGGTGAGAAAACGGAGAATGAGTAAGAAAGGAGTTAATAGGAGGATTTAAAATAAAGACTGAAAGTGTAAATATCTGGTTAATTTAAATAATAAATCTTACAAGGTGTTCATGTATTTAATATAAACGCTCATTTATGAACTGCTCGAACTGGAAATTGTTTGACCAACGCTGTACTCCTAATCTTAACACCTGGGGGCCATTGGTCGTTGAAAGAGAGCATGCCAATGTAAAATTTAAAATTACGCATAAAAAAACAACTAGCTTATTAGGAAGTAGTATCAGGTAGCAATTATAAATCGATGACAAAATTCGATCCACAACGAAACATCGCGAGTGAACTAAATAAAAATTAATGAAAGACAATATCGATAACAGATGATGTAACAGTTTGGGGGAACTGTTTTTATCCGCAACAGAAACCGTAATTACGTTATATGTAATCTAGAATATATAAACATTGCTACATCCGTTAATCATAGTTCTTAAAAAAAAGGCTCTTCCATAAAACGAAGAGCTCTAATCGACTCTAATCGAGCAATATTAACTTGAAATTAATAACATTGTTCACGTTCTTGTGTAAATATTGTTCTTTAGTGCCCTTTATAACATAGTTTCTACATTTCTAATGACGTTTTATTGTTTCAGTATTTACACTGTGTTCGTTTTGTCCCGAATATTGCTTTAATTTACGTAAATAAACTTGTTCACTTTATTAAGCTTCTTGAAAATGCAGATAAAATATTGGTAGTAATTTTCTGTTAATTATAATACAGATAATTCACCTTTCCTGCGTTCTTTTAACTTACTTCGAATTTTTGAGTCAACCACAGACTTCGTTCGCCATTTTCATGTCGGTAAATGGGTTCGGTGCATGTTATTTTGTAATCAGTGTTAGTTACTTACTACAGTAAATATATTTCGGATCCCATCATATTCCGTAATGTTTATCATTCCATAAAGTGGCCGCCTTTACGAGAAAGTGGTTAGTGACTCTGATTGCCCTACCGAAGGGTCTGTGTTCGAATTTCAGAGAAGGCAGGTACGGGTCCATGTAAAAATATGGGGAACAGCAGCAAGGTACCATGGGTCAACTGGTAATTAATGCTAATTCAGAAGTCAAACAGTTCAGAAGACTTCTGAATTAGTATTTATTCGGCATGTTATTGTGTCTTGGTAATTAATGCCTTCCCATACTATCAAACCCATAAAATAATCGTAAGCTTTATAAAAGTTTACAAAGAAATATTGAGGAAATGAGCAACTGAAGCTTTCCAAACGACCTAGAGTTTACCTATTTTGTACATCGTGCAATTCCACCGTACATCCCGCAACCAATATTTATTAAAAAAACAATGACTCAGGACATAAAGAGATTACAATTAGTTTCAGTACAATTTGAAATTTACAAATTAAAATAATAACCTGTGTTTTGGTGTTACAAAAATAACAGATAAACATGATAAATAATAGGAACACAATGCTATAATGAACTGTAAGGATAATACTAAAGAGGCATCCACGGTCTCAACTATGAGTAAGAATCTTAGAGCTCAGGGATTTGAGAGTGCAGAAATTGGAAAAATACAGAAAATAACTGACAAGAAACCAACGAAGTTTTTTTTAAAAAATGGTATGCTGGAGTAGGTTACATTAGTTTATGAAGTTCACTGGTGGAATCCTTTTGAACATAATCACAGGATGCAAAGGTTTACCTATAAAATGCAGTGCACAACATAATAATACAAGTAACTGCATATAGTAAGTAATTTTAAAATAACAATTATACTAAGAATATGAACAGAAATTTAGAAAAAAATGATCTATTAGATTTATGTTTTCCCTAATTATCATTTTAAATTAATTATATTTTATACTTTGCAAATATAAGCAGGTTTTCAAAAACAAAATCACAAACTCTAACATCGCAAAAGTTTAATTTTAGTTAATGTGATAGCTGTGCTTGATGTATTGATGCAATACTTTGAATATTTGGCGTAATATTACTTAAATTAATTTTAAATCCCCTCGTTCAAAAATATTCAAGCGGTTTCAAGTTTTTCATTCCATTTTTGCGTTCTTCGTATTTTTGTTATTGTGTTTTCATCTTTTCTTGTATTTTACTTTTTTATATTACACTTACTGCATAGAAAATTCATATATTTTGAAAAGTATTATTGAATTTAAAATATATTAAATAATTTTAGTATATTTTTCTTTATGTTTGTTATATTTATTTTACAAGATATCGTTCTTGCTACCTGATACAGCTTTATATCAATAAACAATTAATCATCAACTTGATTAATATTTTTTAATCTTAATTACACCGATCAACTTCCATTCGACTCCTTGATCATCACTGCCACCCCCCTTTAAAATTGGAATAAACTCTCCAATTGTATTTCGAACACTTGTATTTAGTAGAAGAATCATCTTGTAGCAATTTTTATACCATTGTCTGTGATTGCTATTATATATTTCATTGAACGTTTTTATTTATTAAATCTGTGTTTTTTTACATAGTGTGCAACATTCCACAGCGCGAAAGCCATGCCATTGGGAAGATCCGACCAGAGCTGTACCAAGCGGAAATGATGAGACAGTGGTCAGCAGACAGCGGTGCAGACCTCTTGGGTGATGGCAATGAACAAGGGGCAGCATGTGGGAAACTGCAGTTCACATTGCGCTATGACCACGACGTAGAGGGCCTAATAGTCAGGGTAAGTTCTTCAGTGTATAATTTCATTAATAATTGCATGATACAATAGTTTTAGGCACTTGTGGGTAGACTAGCAAGAGTAGTTGATGCTACTGTATGCTAGGGGGTTTCAAAATAAAGCTTGGACGGCCCTTTTAAAGTGATCCATCTTTCAATAAACTAAAAACAAAACATTTATGACGAATGAAGTAATACGACATCAGTATTTTTGCTTCAATTTGTACATATGGCATTATTTTAAAACACTTTATTCTCTATATTTAAAAAAGGCCTCAGTTTTGTCGGTATATTAATTTTCGGTTCGTTTTAATGTTGTATTTTTGCAAAGGAAATAACTTTGAAGACTTCAAGCGTCTGCTGCTTTCAGAAGACAACAAAAGCTGAGGTAGAGCCATTAGATTATATCGATACAAGAACGTTTAAAATGTGCAATACACTCGCCGGGATTCGAACGACAGACTTCCAAAATACGTGTCGAGCATGCTTCCAGCTATACCACGAAGGCAAATGGAAACGCAACAGAAACTACCTTATAAAGTTTATGCAATTTGAGTCATATCGCGAAGTCACACGTGGGTGATGCAATAGCAGGGTTTTTTTCCTAGAACGAGTATTAAATACAGTAAGGTCCCACTTAACAAGGGGATACGTTCCAGAAAGTTCCAGCGCTAAACAAAACAGCGTAAAAAAGTTGTCTTAGCGCGTAAATAGTGGGGATAAATGAAGCAGAAGCGAAAATAAGAAATTTTGTCTTTTTTTTTTTTTTTTTTTTTAAGCATTTATTGTTAAATACTCGTTTGTTATTAAGGATGGACTTATTTATTGCTAATATCAATTTTTATTTTAAAAACATTTATGAAAATCAAAAACAAAAATCTCGAACGAAAACGTTACGCTTGTGATGAAAAAGGTTCTTCCTTGACTTGACAACAATGTTCAAAGAAATTTCTTGCCTTTGAACTTCTATCGATAATTTTTGTTATGGTAATTAGACTTTTTTGTACAAAACGCTGAAAGATCTTTTTGGCTTCCAATCTTCAGAAACGCCATTCTCATTCACTTGCTCTTCAAATAATCGTCTGTTGTAACTTGCATTAATTCTTCAGTATCCTGCTCATTCCGAATCCTGTTTCTTTAGCTAGCTTGAGAATTTCGTCTGCCTCAATAATGAATTCTCTTGCGTCAACATCTTTTCATCTCCGGCCATACATTCTTCCATATTCTTTTCAAATGTCTCTCGGTCATCTCATTCCAGGAACGATTGTCTGCAGTATCAAAGATAGTGTAGTTTTTCCAAAAGTCTCTAATGTATAGTTTATCTTCTCCATTGAGTTTAGCAATCAGTTGTCGGAAAATCAGTTGCCGCAGATAATTTGCCGTTTCAAAATTTAAAATTATGCCGTGATCTGTTGGTTGAATTAACCAAGTTGTGTTTGACGGCAAGGTGACCACCTCTATTGGAATACATTTGTCAAGTCAAACAAATGCTTTGGATGGCTTGGAACATTTCAGTCAAAAAATAAAACTTTCGATTTCAATTTGTTTTCAATTCGCAGTAGCATTTAATACATGGTTGAAAGTATTCCGGTAAACCAACTCTCAAAACTTTTTACATTGATTCAAGACTTTTCATTGGACTTTCAAATTACTGGTAAAGATTATAAAGGTTTTAAGTCATTCACTATTGGAAACTGACACAAAGCTTTTGGTACACGTTAAGGCGACTTATCGCTATGTCTGAAGTAAGGACAGGAACATGAGAAGAGTACAAAAGACTCTTTAAAGCCAAGGTTCCTCCCACTTCTATGGGTAAACTGATGTTACCGGACACATAGTTATATAAGATACGTTACTTTCTCGAACGTTGGAAAAGGAAAGGTATGATCTTGAAAGAGTATAACTTTGTCTGTCTACTGACCTTAGTTTTGAAATGAATTCTTATTGCAGATGAGAAATGGATATGCTGAGACAGTCATTAATTAGGTCAAAGTCATGGTTGATTAGTTCTTAGTTAAACCCGTGTAGAAAAAAATATTTATTTCAATAACCAGGTTTAATTAAATACAATACCAGGTAAAAATCTTGTGCAATTTTCTCTTGTGCAAAAAACTCTTGTGCATTGCTTTATGTGTGCGTGCCTGGACATCACCATGGCCGGATAATCTGCCCTCGGATAATCGAGAGTACTCTTTAACTGCTCTTCATATTTTTGATGCTAAAACATTTACAGGCATTTTATACAAACACAACAATAATTTTCAACTCTGACACATGTTCTCTCTTTTACAAAAAAAATCGAAGCACCATGAAGGAAGTGGTTGTTTTTTATGGAATTGAATATGTGTGTGGCTCATACACAGACAATAAAATGATTTAAAAAACCAAGGTCATAGTACCCGTCGACGGCTCACAATCACCCATCGAGTGTTCAAATTAGTAGTTAGCCGAACCGCCCCTGGCGGCAATGCATGCTTCAATTTGTCGAGGCAAGGAGTGGTAGGGGTTCCCAATGTCATCCTGCGACACATTCTGCCAGTCATTCATAATTTGTCGCTCCACATCTGCGATATTTTGTGGTGCCCGAATCTGGCGGCCGACCATGTCCCAGACATGTTCGAATGGTGAAAGGTCTGGTGACCTTGCTGGCCAAAGAAGAATATCAACCGTACGGAGACAGTCCAGAGATATGCAAGCGGTATGTGGCCTGGCATTATCTTGTTTATCTTGTTGGAAAATGGCCCCAGGATGTCGTGCCATGAAGGATAATGCAACTGGCTGTAGGATGGTATCAACATATCGCTGAGCTGTTAAAGATGTACGGAGAATGACTTAAGATGACCTGCTGTCATAAGAATTAGCGCCCCACACCATCACACCAGGGGTTATTTGGCTGTATGCCTTTTTAAAACAAAGTCAACTTGGGACCGCTGGCCCCGTCCTCTCCAGACACGAATACAGTGGTCATCTGCTTCAAGAGTGAAGCGAGATTAACCGCTGAACACTATACGATTCCATTTTGATGGTAGCTATGATGATCGGCTGCGACACCACTCCAGACGACTCCGCCGATATTGTGGAGTCAAAGGCAAACGTCTTAAAGGCCCCTGTGAGCGTACCCCGCCTCAGACAAACATCGTGAGACGGTGTACAGTACCACGTGAGGTATAGACGTGGCAGTAGTGCGTTGAAGAGTTAACAATGATTACCGTTGGGGCGGTTCGGGCTTGACGAACAGTCACGCTATCTTGCCTCGCATTTGTGATCCTTGGCTTTCCAGAGCCCTCCTTGTAGCGCATTTGTGATCCTAAATTTCCTTGTAGCGACCATTGCTGTCAACAGCTTTGTACAGCAGTGTCTTTACGCTGCAGGTGGCGGCCTATTGCTCGGTATGACCACCCAGCTTCACGCAACCCTGCAATGCGACCACGTTCGAAGTCGTTTAGTTGTCTGTAAGGGTCTTCGATATCGTCGTAATGGCATCTTTAGTTGCTTCTTTACGGAATTACAATAGCAGCAACCAAAAAAAAAAAAAAAAGAAGATAAGTTTCCTCCTCTGTTACTAGTTTTATACTTTGCGCGCTAGAAATGCGTGGTATGATCGCAATTCCTGTTCATTTACCTTGAAACTTTGATCATTTCGATCAAGATGTTTTTGCATACCAAATTTCATCACGATCGCAAAAGTCCTTCTTATTGCTTCGATTTTTTTGCAAAAGAGTGTATAAACATAATTTGCTAACCTATCAATAATAATAACTATGTTCTGTATTTTTAGGTTCTCCAGGCTCATGACTTGCCGGCTAAAGATTTTTCTGGCACTTCAGACCCATACATCAAGATCTATTTGCTTCCAGATAGAAAGAAAAAGTTCCAGACTCGTGTGAGTGCGTGAATCTTTTAATTTTAATGTGTGGTATCTTTTAACTGTTGGTGATGGCGAGTAATGCTTACGTTCATTATCCCAGTATTATAGTATTTACATAAATTTGTTCCAAAATGTAGGAAATTCCTCGCTTAAGGTATTCCTCGTTTAAAAGTGTGAACTGCTTGATTAAAATTCGCTGTCTCTTGCAAAATGTTCGATTTAATGTAAGGACTGATAAAGCAGTAACCTTGATTTCGCCTTGAACTCTAACTCTCGTCTTCAATTCTTTGTAACTAACTGAGCTACCGAAACCGAGAAGTAACTCGGTATTATTTTTATGTGCATCGTACTGATTACTCAGATCACCATAGAGAAAGGAATGTGGTCAAAACCGATCCGCGTGCCCATTCTCACTATCTAGTGAAAACGGAGAGCATTTGGATGGCAATGAGATTATTAGACTTAAGCCACTGCTCTCGCCTTGCAATAAAGATATCGGTAAAATTGCTCGCGTCAAAAATAGCTGTTTTTAACTCGATTGGTTTAGTGATCAAGTTACGGTAGCGAAGTTCGACTCAGCACAGCAGCATTCGCCGACGAACAGCAACCTTCACAGGCGGCTTTTATTGGCAAGCATCGCCATTATATCTATCTGAGTCACAGTCGGCTATTATGCACAACAACAATTATAAATGGCGGCTCACTATCGGCAAGGCCTAAAAGCAACTAGCGGCGACTACACCAGTGGTCGCTGCCGCAAGTTTCTTTATAACTCAAGAGGTTCTTTATAAGGAAAATTACAAGACACTGTTTCCGAACGTTTTACGTATAACAAAGAAAAGGAACTAATAGCAGTAACGATTAATAAAGAACTGATTTCTTAACCCTATGAGCAGACAGTAGCTCATTTTTTATATGTTTAGTGTTGTGTTAAATATTATGTATATGTAATATTAAGTATGTGTTAGATTTAGTGAATTTCATTACAAACTTATATGCAAAGTATTCTTTTCTAAGCAATTATTTGGGGTTTTAGAAATGGGTTAACTCATTTTACATTGATTCCTATGAGGGAAATTGTTTCGATTTACAAATGTTTCGGATGAGGAACAAGTTTCGTTTGTGAAGCAAGGTTTCACTGTATGCTTTATCATGTACATTCTTACCGCACGTATTAAGTAGCAAGGATACAGATTATTTCTCATTTCTGTGTCCATAATGTAGACCAGGGATGGGCAAACTACGGCCCGCGGGCCACCTCTGGTTCGCCGGAAGGTTCTATCTGGCCCGCACAGAATTTTAATTTGCCGGTCCGAGTCGAATTAAAAGAAATACATATATATTATATATCCATCTCCTTTTCTACTTTATTTAAATATTATTTTTTTCAAAGGACTGATGATCTTTTTAGGACTGATACTGTAAGGTTAATGTTACTGTGTATTCTTTTTGTAATGTAGGTTTCTTTTAAAGAAATAATATTGGGATAGTTACCTGTAGAACCACTTCTCCTTTGATATATTCTTACTATAACCATATCCATCGAAAATTAAATTATTTGCATAATTTTCCCCTCTCGAGTTTTGGACTATGAAATTAGTTGAGAGGAAATAAGGGTACATGTGCCCCAAAAAATATTACTTAACCTAAGACCTGTTAAAATATTAGATATTAGAACATATAGGTCAATCCATCATACAAAACTACAAATATTTAAGTTGTAATCTGTTTCGGATAATTTTTAGAAAAGTGGTTTCTGACCATTTCGCTCGCGCAATGTTCGTATGCCACTACTCTTAAAAAGCTAGAGCAAACATATTTAACGATAGTCTTGGCCCTCGTAATCGATTCTAAGCTACCCAACTCTCTTACTGCGTGAAACACTAGCATGCAACAGCCTTGCTTTTTTCGTGCCACCAACAGTCTGCACGCGTCAGGTATAAAAACTTCATCCGTTGACGTAATTTGAGGCTACTTGTGAAGACTTCTGAATAAAGAATTTATATTTATGGCACGTAGTAGCAAACACGGCACCCAGGTTTTTTAGACATAACAATTTAAGGACTATTTCTGTAACGCAACAATTGCTATAAATGTGTTAAGTAGGCCTATAAATACATAACTGACAAAGATACATGGATTTTCTTTGCGAAAAAAGGAAGTAGTTTGTTTTTTATTCTTTACTTCACAAAATAAGCTTAATCGTTGTGTTTTCAAACCATTAATGTGGCAGGTTTCATGAATAAAATCTTATATTTATTCTTAACTTTTAACGCCAATGGAGAAACTTTACATGTAGCTTCTGAGATCAGGTCATATGTGAAAATACAGGAATATGTGAAAATGAAATAAACACATTACATACTTATAAATCGAAAACTGTTTGCTTAAGGCTGTTTTAGTACCTTTTTACAGAAAGTAGTTTTAAATTTATATATCCCTTCTTTTGTATGTTTGCTTTTTGTGACCTGAGTATCACGTGAGCGCCCTTCTAATTAATTCAGTAATATGACTGCTAGTTAGAGAGTACAGTATATACCTCTGAATGTGATCACGTCGGTCCACGGCTATTTCGATAACTTTAAAACGATGAAAAAAATATCTTTGAAAAGACCATAGGAATTTAACTAATTTAATATACATATATCTAGAAACATAAAAAGCATTTTAACTAGGAAAATGCAAATTTTTAATTCAAAAGTTTATTTATAAAATATTCATAACGTTTCTGAAACTTATTTAACCGATGCTGACTCCTATTTTTAATACTCAGATATCATATCTCATATAAAAGAGAAGTTACCAATGTAAAATGTAAAATTAGGCAAAAAACGCAACCTTAATTTGTCGTAGATGTTCTCAGAGAATTTTTATTTCAGAGGGAAAAAAATTCTGTAGATTTTTTTTATCCTGAGAAGAGAGACCTGTGTTTGATCGCTCTTTCAAAATTGATAGAGCTATTAAAAGCTTTACTCCAAACTACGTTGCTTTTGCCTAATTCAAAATAATTGACAAAATCGAAAGTAAAGTGTTTGGTGACCTAATCCAATACTTAGATATTTAAATGTCGCTTGCCAATTTTTAGTATAAATTTTAAACTTATTTGGCGACTTTACTTTAGTTTAAGAAATTTATTCTATATTTTTATCATATTAACCGAATTGTTGATCACAATAAACGATGTGTTTTCTATATTTTCGTGTATGGGAATGCAGTAACAATAACAACTTCGGCAATGCAGTAACAATATCCGAATGACAACATTAACCGTGATTACATTAACCGGCATTTACTGCAGAAAAAGATTTAAAAGATTTTTATACGCTGTAATAGGCAAAAATACATTTTGATATCGTATAGCATCATTTTATAGCGCAAATTGGAGAAAAGCCTGCTTCAGAGTTAGACTGCTCGTTCAATAGAGCAGAACCTGGCTCTGGTATGTTGGTCACCCAAAAGTCCGAATTTAACAACATAGGACTATTACTTATGGGGATGCATTAAGCACTGAGCTTTCAGTTCCTTCTCTTCATTCTTTAAGTCTGGACGATCTTAAATAGACATATTCTATTCCAATTATAATATTTTTTGTTATACCTATCTTCCTTTTCGTCAATCACAAAAGTTTGTGTATTTTACAGAAATTTAACCTATGCGTAATTTTTTCTCTTGTCGATAACACATAAATAATTTCTTATATGAGTACAAAATTTACCATATGTGAAAAGAAGTAATTCCTAAATGTGCTAACATAAGAAAAATTTTGAAATAAATTTCCTTTTAAAATGTATATTTTTCGACTTATTTCAAACTTTAATAAAATAATTATAATAAAAATTCTATTAATTTTTAGCCATAAATTTTGACACAAATGTTAATATCGCGTATCTTGAAAATTTCATAGATATCTAGAAAAATGTGTATGTAGTGTACATGTAGGTTAACTTCTGTCTGTATACTGGAGTAGCAGGGAACTACACAGAGAAGGGTTCACGTACCCTTTATTACCTCTTTAAAATTTACGATGCGTCAAATCGAAGCTAACAAACTTCGCCTCTACTTTGAAATGTTTAACAAGTGATAAACTAGCCTACAGGGCTCGGCGAGATCTCGAACTTCAACCTTCTTCTAAGCTAGTAGCTGCTAAGCAATGTAATTAAGCCACTTGAACCAGCAATGAGCAAACGTACCTACGGCAGAGAGCCTAACTCTCTCTTTCTCCTACCGAAACTCGGCTTTTAACTACTTCCTTCAAAATAGAAAATTGGCATTCCTTCACGCCCGCTACAAAATTTAACTATTCTGGCACTGACAATTGGGGGAATGAAGGCTTATAAGAAAGTTTCAAATAAAACTTAAAAATATTAGTTAAAATAAATATAAATCCCTACAGATAGAACAATCTGAATGCCTAATAACGGCATGAATATTTAAAGAAAAAATGCAAAATTATGCTTTAATTATTTCAATAATATTTTTAATCTGTTTAAAAAAATTAAGAAGATTTAAAAATAAGTGCAGAATCATTACGGTACGAAAGTTTTCTTAAGCTATAGATGTATTTACATTTATAGCTCTGTATATAAGAGCGAATTGCAATATATATGCATTTAATTTTATATTATTCTATGCATACAAGGACCAAGTGATACATACGAATAGTAGCGTTTATGCAAGTCTATGCAGGGACCAATTAATATATACAAATACCAGTGTATGTGCTACTCTATGCAGGGACCAACTATGGTACATATATGCTTACATTTGAAGTACTCTAGACAGAGACCAGTTTAACACGTACGTACACTTATGCTACTCTATACAGGAGCCAATAAAACACACATCAACCAGCGTTATAAGATATTTTCTTCTTCCTTGCCGCGTACCTTCGTAGTGTAAGTAGTGTAATTGAAAAACAAGTCTAGTCAATGGGAATGTCGGGAGTTCGAGTCCTAGTAAGATCATTGCTTATTTTGCAGGTTTCTTACTTAGATAAAAAAAAATCCTAATAGATT